GTTGGCCTGTGCTGATGAAAACAATCCTAAACCTCCTTACGTTTGACTCTGTGCCTCCCTATATAGCCCAGTACTCTCCATCCTCTCTCCCTATTTTCTCTTTTCAACTAGTCGAAATATTAGTGGAGGGAGACCATTAGAGATGAAACATCTTGCTATATATTGCTAGTTTTCTATGTCACCTGGCTTTTCTGTGTTTCTGTTGAAACACTCTTGAGAAGTCTCTGATTTCATTTTCTACATGGGTACACTTTAAGGCTCAATATTAGAAAAGACAGGGATCAGAGTGATCACCAATGTAGTATCCTAACGTAAAAGATAAGGAAAAAATCAGGCTTTGTGAGACAGTCAATGATTTGTCCAAAGTCACACAGATAGTAAATGCCAAAGCCAAAACTGAAATTAGGTCTCCAGACTTCTAGTTCAATACGTTCCCTCATTATTCCATGCTATTTTGAATCTACTAGTAAATTTAGGGGCAAAACAAATCTAACGAAAAACTTTCTTTTCTTACCTGACATGGTCAGAGAAGAAGAGAAGAAGACATCAACTGCAGATACAAGGGATGAGGAGGCAACAGCAGAGGATGTCTGAGTGGCTGCAGCTGAACGGCGCATGTGTCCAGTACAAAGGTCACTGGTTACTGCTCACTGGTCACTTATATGATATAGGAGAATGATGTCACAAAGCAGGCAGTTTCAAGGTATGAGACAGGCAATAGGGAGGTCCGATCCCCAACAGGAAGGCGGGGCTGGGTGGAGAGAGTGTAGGAGAGCTAAAACAACACCTGAATTTCTGAGCTCTGGGGAGGAAATCCTAGACGACACATTTACCTCCCCCAGGCTCTTACATTAGGGAAATCATTGCAACATTTCTTACAGACGTTCATTAATATAATTTACTAACAGTTACCTGTATCCTACACAGTATTATATTTTATGTATCATATACTTAGAGCTATATATATATCTTATGTAATTAATATCCTTAGGAAGGCAAGAGCCATCTAGTTTGAACTATTACGGTTGTTCTGAAATCATATCTTGTCTAATTAGTGAACTTATAGCAGCTTTTAAGGAGCAAAAGGAGGGATTAAGAAGCTCTTTTTGTAACTTGGTTAAAGCGTAGGGTGAAGTTTGTTGAGTGTACCTTGTGGAGAGTGTTGTGGTCCAAGGCTTTTCTCCTTTAGTTTCGTCTCCTTGACTCCTGCCTTCCTTGGGCTGGGCCAGGCTGGGCCAGGGGTTGGACTTGCGACTTACATTTCTCTTCTGCTTTCTTTTTTTTTTTTTTTTCCATTATGGGCATTGTTTCTAGGACAAGCCTTGATCTTGCCATTCTTACCCTCATGGATGTTACTTCCTGTCAACTTGCAGCAGCAGGAGTCTTCTTTTCAGTGCTTGATGCTTCACAAAATAGACTCTGTCCGTTGGACGCAGATACCAGAGAGCTAGGAGACAGAGCTGGTTGCAAACCTTTCCTCTTCCAGCCTTTGGTTGCAAATGTTTTCCCCATAATTCGCTACCTCTGGTTCCTTGGGCCACACAGGTATCCGGCCATCCAGCTCTTTTATATGTGAGAGACATTCTGAATACTGTCCCTTTTTCTTTGCACAGAAGTACATACAGTGTGGCAGTTACTGTAATCTCCTGCCCCTTGCAAACAGCCACTCTAGAATCTTGGACCTCTAGGATTCTCTGTCTTGCATGCTTGGGTGCAAGGCCTAGCAAAATGAAGAGGAGAATAATTAGAGAAGGAAGAGGACATTTCGTGGAGAACTGGGAGCAGATAAGGTGAAAGGGCACAGGAGTAAAGAGATTCATGTAGATTTTGTGGTTTCTGTGGGAAACAAGTTGACACACTTTGGCCTCATTTTGTATTACCAGAAGAGACAGTCATAGATATAAGTAGCTCGATAGTGCAGCAACTGCCATGAATTCTGTACACTAAAGGGAACAGTCTTACATATATTTCTCATTTTGTTTTATGCCATATTACCTTATTAATAGCATTCACTGGTATGTTTGTAGAATACAGATTTTTTGAAATGCTCTGGTTTTGTCTACATGGTTATTTCCTTGTCATATTTTTAAGGACTCCAACATTGTAAGACATACTGCATGGTTTTCTCTTGACGATTGTTTATCTTGAAGCATCATGAACGAACTTGACCTGTTGGATTTTGTGGAGAAACTTTAAAGAGGGTCTGTGAAAAAGGCATTGCGGTGAGTCGCGTTATGCACCCAAGCGTAAGGAGCAGATATCTGCCATCAGCCCAGCTTGGCCTGGGTTGCCTCTGTTTTAGTTCCCGTGGTTAGTGCTTTGCTCCCTAACCACTCTTGTGACTGTGATAATGTGAGTAAGGGCCGAGTTGCTAATGATTTCTACGTGAGGTAAGCTGGTTTGAGGGAGGAAATCTATGGATCTAGTCATTTTCCTTGGTGGTAAGCTTTCAGGGAGGGGTGCAAAGATTGATCTTTCTGGGGACTTCTCTAGTACCAGGAAGATGTCCCATAGATGGGACCTCCAAAGACACACATTTAATTTTTAGGCCTGTTTTCCCTATTATGAGATACGAGTTTTTTCACTGATGGGGATGATGCTTATCTGAGAAGAAATGGTGAAAGGTGTTGTTAGTATAGAGATGTGGCTTAAGCTTTTAAGTGTTTTTCCCCTAAGCTTCCTACTTCAGATGGCCTACTTACGTGATACTAGTATGTGATGTGAGGCTAACAACTTACTAAATACCTGCAAGCCAGATCAGTGTCTCTTTTCTCTATATTTCCATGGAAATCAAGGGACCCATAGCCACTGCAGGTTAGGGTGGGCGGTGTGAGATTGGGGGGAGTGTGGTAAGACACATTTTGGTATCAGTAAAATGTTTACCTATTAAACTATGCAGTTCCAACATTCAATTCTGTTTAGTTAGGCAAACCCTTAGTTAGGCTTTTCCTGGTTCCGAGCCTATGTAACTTACGTTCTCTCCCTAGTTCCAGCCATTTAACTTTAGCTTGCAGGCTCAGCATCATCTTAACCTCTAAAAGAATCTTCCATGTAGGAGGAAGAAACTAAAGAGCTCTATTTCAGCACTTAGGAACATGAGGCCCTACCCTGACCGAAACCTTTATTCTTACAGTTAGGGTATTGTCTTGTCCCAGCATTTTGAACCCATCAGGTTAACTGAGACATGTCTTGGTGTAACATCCCCAGTTCGTCTACCCCTGAGGCTGTCCTTAATTCCTCCCATTGTCACATTGTGATTTAATTAAATACTGGAATCCCTCAAGCCCTTGCATGGTACCTGAGGCCCTATGGGATACTGGTAGGTTTTGTTAGTGTCAGATACTTAGCTGTCTGATTCTCCAAATATCCCTTGCTCCTAGATTTTCCGTCCCAGCATACTACATACCCATTAAGGCATTGTTTCATCTCATGTTGGACCCACTCCCATCCAGAGGCCTACTCTTTGCTAGTTCCCATACTTTCTGGAAACCCCATTATGGCCAGGTGTGGATTTTTTTGTGTTCCCACCCAAAGCCTGTATCTTTTAGCAAGCTGGAACTATAAGACCAACATAGATTTTCTAGTTTCTGATAGATTTATGTCACAATTCGTACATTGTCATGTCTATAGATATTTGTATCATTTGTACTTTTTGGCCATTACATGCCTATTGGATATTTTTCATAAATTGCAAAAGAATATTTTATGACTTACCAAATTGAATGTGCCTAATTGTAAGTTTGTAAACTAGGTTGTGCTAACTTGTATCTTTTCTTTATCCAAGTAGTAATTGACTACTATTGTCCCATTTGTAATTATGTGGAAGTTTTCAGAATTGTAAATAAATGCTTGTGGATTGAAACTTGGCTAGACTATTGACTGTCCCAGATACGTTAAAGCTAGTGATCTTTTTACTCCTTCATTCATTCACTCATTCAATAATTCTGACCTTCCTGACTCAGTTTACCCAGCTCAGATGGTTGTGAAGATTACTAACAGTGTATGTAAGATACTTTCAGAAACTAGAAACTGAATCAAAGTAAAACTAACAAAAAACATTTGTTATTATAAATAACAATGGAATTGAGTATGCTATTATACCTTCAGACCTACTGTAGGACATGCTGTTCTTTGCTCTTCCACTTGTGGCAGGATTCATAGTTTTTCTAACAGGTACCGATCCCTATGCCTGATACTGTGAGGAAATGTTATACCTGAGCTCCACTCTTATCTCTCTCAAGCATATCTTGGTATTATCTAAAATGTAAATCCATACTGTCAACCTCCAGCATGATACCAGGCACATAATAGAAACCCAATAACTGTTTCACTGTGAGTGGAGTATAAGTTGATAGAGTATTTTTGAAGGTTGATTAGGCAGATTAGATTGATTGAAAACCTTTCAGTATTTTAAGTTCGCATCTGTTTCATTCCAGAAATTCTATGTCTAGAAATTTATATATAGCTATACACATGTATAAAGAGGTTCACATTGCAGCCTATCTATAACAGAGGACAAAAACAAACAAGCAAACAAACAAACAAAATACCCCCAAACTGAAAACAACTAAAAGTCCATCAATATCGGACTGGCCGTGTAAATTATGTAATGTGACGCAGCTCTCAAAGAGAATGGGATGGATGTACGCAAAAATTGACTGGGAAACTCACGATCCAAGACAGATTGTAGACTATGTCTAGTATGCAGCTCTTGTATAAAATACAGGATCTCCATTACGTAGAAATACTTACATACAGGATACAACAAGTGTGAATGTAAAGCACTTGGGAAATATCTGAAAGAACCACACAAGAGAACTGGGAGAGTGGGACAGCTTTCCATGTCCCATGTGATTGGAAGTTCTGAAGGGTGCACACACCACGAACTAATGGACCTCTGCTACCATCTTCCGGCTAAGGAGGGAATTGCAGGCGTCATACTCCTCTTTACTAATGAAGCGTCTTTGCGTGCGGACGTCATCTGGGCGGGCGGTGGCGCATGCGCAGTAGAAGGAGGTGCGCGAGCCGTGTGGGCTTGTGCTTAGGCGCTTGTGTTTCGGGGCCTTGTGCTGGCACCGGGGGCGCCGGGCTGGCGACTCTGGCACTCTTGGGGTTGGGTGGGCGTCATCTTGGGGGGAGGGTCACATGAGCCAGTGGCATCATGCCCGTCGGCGTTGGGGTCAGCGTCGCGGCTTTTCCGGACGTTCGTCGGCCAGGAGGAAGGGCGGAAAGCACATCCCGGAAAGGTAATACTCCTTGGCCGCTGGGCGTTGCCGGTGGAGCCCAGAGCCCCTGGGCCTGGGCTTCGTCTCCTGTGCTGTCTCCTGTGACTGTTGCCCCCGCGGGCTGCCCCGTCTGCGCTGTGCTAGGGGGTATTGGTCGTCTCGCGGCTCATTTCACAGTAGCTGAAAGGGACAGTGTGTGATGTTCTGATTTCCCCCCATCGTTTTAAAAGGGAGGCTCTGGCCATTGCTCCTCGGGCAAAATGCAGAGGGACTGCTTTTTAAGATGGGACTGTCAGTGTTGGGGACTCTTCTTAATTACCAAAATGGAATCCCCTTCAATTCCACAAGCTGTGTCGTTTTGGCACAGAAAATGTGAGTAAGATGACCTGGAACTAAGTTTGAGTGAAGAAACGCACGGGTACTGCCGAATTTTCCATCGAAACAGTTGATTTGTGTTGTCTCTAGGAATTATAAAGGGCGTACTGTTGCTTCCTAACCGGTGTCATTTGAGAGATCTACCTCTGTACGTTCAAATGATTAATTTTGAGACTTTGCTCATGTGTGCAATAAACCCTTTAATTCCCTAAGACCTTCATTTCCTCCATCTCATACCCCATTAAGCCCGCTTCAGTTTATCTCCTGAATTTCTTTTGAATCTATCACCTCTTCCTCAACATCCTAATACTGAACTTGCCTGTGTGTTGCAATTAGGTCCTAAGTGGTGTCCATATTTCTTGTTTCCTTCCAATCCATTCTGCACACAAGAAACCTTAAAAGCAAGTTGGAACATTGCACATAGACATCACTCAAAAACATTGTTTTGAGAATAGAAAAGAAACTGTGGGCTTTTAACACTCTGTGTGGTCTAGAATCCTCTCTGCTTCTCTAGCCCCATCTTGTGCCACTATTGCCCTCACTTTCTACGCTTCAGATACACTGAATTAACCTTAGTTCTAACTCATCTTACAGATGTCAGTTCAGATATTATGTTTCACTGTGATTCCTAGCATTAAGGAATTTTATTATCAGGTTTTGTATGAGGACTAAAACTAAACTGTGAAGGGGAGGAACTGAGTTCAAACTATTTCAGTCAACATGCATGTATTAATGATGCCTTAGTAGTCAACACCGGGCTAGGTTTTATCAGGGATACAGACGTTCTGGCCATCTCTGGTTTTAGATATCCCTGATTTGTTGAGACCGTTGCATTGTTTTGTTGCCTTTTATCTGTTTTCAAGATGGGAAAACAGGAACAATGGAAGTATAGCGTATTACAAGGTGGGGTTGAATAAGTGGAGCAGCAAAATGCAAAGCAGAAAGAAGAGGGACCTACCATAGAGTGATATGATTTCCCTTTTCAAGGCCCATTCATCCTATGCAGGGAGACAGCCTAACATAAAATTTGCCTAACAAAAAATATATTAATAGATGGAAAGACTATCTCCCAGTTGGACAGCGGATGCCTGGGACTCGTTTCATTGCTGTCAAAGTTCCTTTAAAAACGGTGAGCAAAATTTAATACCATATTCTTCCAGAAATCTGAATTCACCATATAGAGCCCTGGCTCTCAACCCCGTCGTACTCCATTTTCCCTTTTTATAGCAAATACTTTTTAATACCTCCTTTACTATCTAGAAATGGAATTCATAGATAAATACAACCTACTTTTGAACTTAATTTAAAAAAAAAGAACAAATAGAATGCCCTAACTCTAAATAAAGAATAAAGTAATTTATAAGAAAGTAATATGTATCTCTGTATGTAAATGTTTGGGGATGACTATACTAGAAATAAAGAAATAGTCCCTTGTACCATGAATGCAATAAAATATGGACTTTGCTTGATAATGATGTGTCAGTGTTTGTTCATGAATACTCACAAAGGAAGCACACTGTTATGGTATGTTGATAATGGGGGAGGCTGTGTGGGATGAAGGAGAGAGGGTATAAGTGGGAACTGTGAACTTTTTTCTCAGTTTTGCTGTGAATCTCAAACTGCTCTAAAACTAGTCTACTAATTTCAAAAGAAGAGTGTGTTGCTGGCACTTGAATAACTAAAGAGATCAATCGGAGTACATAAATAAGCCAAATACATAAAAGAATATTTAGCAGTGAAAGCCATCCTTCATATAGGTAGATGTTCAAGAAGTATTTATTTATGTGTCTATTTACAGGCACTCTGCTTGGAGTTGGCAGTACAGCAGTAGGCAAAATTGATGTAGTCCCTGCCTTCTGGGAGTTTACAGTCTGGTTAGGAGACCAACGTGAAATAAACATAGAAATAAATATATGGAAGTGAGCTTATTTTCTTCCATCTAATCTCTCTGGAAGAAAGGATCGTAATACCGCTTGTAAACTCCAGAGGAAGAAACTTTACTTTGAATCTCATATGTTAGCATCACAGGGTTTGAATAAATGGATAATATAATAAAGGATTTTAAATGCATGTTCTTTCTTATTTTATTCTTTCTGACAGAGTTTTGAAAAGAATCTTGCTCCAGAGGAATGTTTTTCCCCCTTCGATCTTTTTTAACAAACTCCAAGAACACAACGAAAAACTTGGGCTGATTATTGACTTAACATATACTCGCCGCTATTATAAGCCAGAGGTAAATGGAACCCATAATTGAAAATGACCTTCTTTCTGATACTGTAATAATTCATAGTAATTCAGTACTTATCATCTTATGCTAAGGTGAATCCTGGCCTTCTTTCATGGGTTCAAAAAGGGAAGCTAGTGGTTTCCTTAAATACACATTTGTAATTGCTGTTTCAAAATGAGATTAAAGATATGAATTGAACTATAGTATTTGGCAGTAGGCTCTAGATATTCTTAAGAAGTTCTGTAAGCTTCCACGTTCTACATTTTGAAAATGAAGTAAACTTTTAGTACGAATAGTAGTACCCTAAAAGGAAGGAAAGGTATGTCCATTATGTCTTTAGCACTTATTTTAAGCAGTTGCCACAGCATGTTCAAGCATCGTGGTAAAAGATAATTGTTCTCTAAGTTTTATGCTTTCTTTTCCTAATACCTTCTGATATAGTACAGAAACCCATATATTCTCTTGGCCCATGCAGGACATACCAGTGCAAAAGAATTATCCTTCTTCTGACCTGTTCCATGGCCTTGGGAGAAGTAACACCTAACGTTTGTTAATATTTGTATAGCAGTTTGCCATTTAGAAAGTTCTTTCATATCCATTGACTTTGTGAATCTTCACAACAAATCCTTTGCTGTTGAAGTGGAAGTAGTACTGATACCTCGTACTGAGTGCTTCCTCTGCACTAAGCTCAGAGGATAGACAACTACAGTTACTAATTTTACGGACGATGAAACTGACTCTCGGACAAGGAAGAATTGAAATTTCAACTCAGTTGTTCCTCTTTTTTTCATTGTGGTAAAATATACATAAATCATATTTATTTTAACCATTTATAAATATGCAGTTCAGTGGCATTAACTACAGTCACAGTGTTGTGTAACTATCACCACTGTCTATAACCAAAACCTTTTCATCATCCTCAACAAAAACTCTGTAACCGTCAAACAGGGACAACCCCATTATCCCTCCCAGCGGCCCTTAGAAACCTCTATTCTATTTTCTGTCTCTATGAATTTGCCTATCCTAGGTACCTCGTGTAAGTGGAATCTACAATATTTATCCTTCTATGTCTGGCTTATTTCACTAAACCTAGTGTTTTCAAGGTTCATCCGTGTTATAGCATGTAACAAAATGCCATTCCTTTTTTGGTTTAATACATTCCACTGTGTGTATATACCATATTTTGTTATTCATCGGGTGATTGACACTTGGGTTGTTTCCACCTTGTATCTATTGTGAATCATGCTGCTATGATCATTGGTGTACAAATATGTGCTCAAATTCCTGCTTTCCATTCTTTTACATGTGCAGTGTAGGTAGTAGCAGAGTTGTTGGATCATATGGTAGCTCTATTTTTAACCTTTGAGAAACTGCCAAACTGTTTTCTACAGTGTCGTCTTGTTTTTAAACAATTATCACAAAGTTTAAACATATACAAAAGTATACAAAATACTGTGAGTGTTCCTTGTATACCCATGAACTCATCCAGCTTTAATATTTACCAACTGATCGCTGTCATGTTTTATCTATACCTCCACCTGTTTCACCCCATTCCATATTATCTTGAAGCAGCTCCGAGACAACGTGTAATTACACCTATACATTTAAAATAATTAATTAATTAATTAATTATTTTTTGGGCTGTGTTGGGTCTTCGTTTCTCTGCAAGAGCTTTCTCTAGTGATGGCAAGCAGGGGCCACTCTTCATCACGGTGCACGGGCCTCTCACTATCGCGGCCTGTCATTGTGGAGCACAGGCTCCAGATGCACAGGCTCAGTAGTTGTGGCTCACGGGCTTAGTTGCTCCACGGCATGTGGGATCTTCCCAGACTAGGCCTTGAACCTGTGTCCCCTGCATTGGCAGGCAGATGCTCAACCACTGTGCCACTAGGGAAGCCCCAGTATAATATTTGGTATGTATATTTAAAATATAGGACTTTTATTCCTTAGTATCATTTTTTAATAGTAAACACCCAGTGGGTGCTCAAATTTGCAGTTGTCTCCTAAATATCATAAAAAATTGTTTTTAGGAATTTTGAATTAGATCCAAATAAGGTCCACACTTTGCCGTTGATTGTTAGGTTTCTGAAGTCTTGTTTAATCTATAGGTTCTCCCTGAATGTCTCTCTCACTTTTTTCTTCCTCCTTAAATTTTACTTTTAAAGAAACCAGGTAATTTGTCCCATCTAGATTTTGATGTTTACATTCCATGTGTTGTTAATATATTCTTTATTTCTTTTATTTCCTTTAAATTGGTAGTTGATCAGAATGAAGCTTGCATGTTTTGTTTTGGCAAGACAGTTTCATAGGTGATGATGTGTTCTTCCATGGAGATATATAATTGTCTCTTTCTGTGATATTAGCAGTCACTGATGATTCATACCTACATCCATTTATCCAGTTGAGGCTTCAAAAAATGGTGAATTCTGTTGTTCTTTTTTTCACTTATTTGCTGGGTATATTTGTATCAGGAGAAGACTCCCCTCATCAACTCTTTGGTTGCCCAGTTGTAGAGGCATGATTCTCTTCTTTTATTTAACAGTTTTCAAAATAATGAGTTGATTCACAAATATCTTCCGGTGGTGACCAGTTTTGTAAAATTTATTTATTCTTATCACCGTGGAGTCCGTTACAGTTATTATTCTAACTGAGGCCCTATCTTTGGCCAGTTGGAGCTTCTCAGTGACTCATGAGTCCTTTTTACATGACATCAGTTGTTTCTAGACTTTTTCAGTGGTCAGAGCTAGGAAATATGTATGTTTGTTTATAATATTTTTAAAATATGTCATAGTTTCATATGCTACTTTCCATTTAAATTCAGAACTAGAGAATTTTCACTTATCCTTTTCTGTCTTCTGTTGATAGTCTACTTTCTCCCACCCCAAGAATACCAGTTCTCAACAATGCCTGAAATTGGCTCTATTTCCTGATTCGAATCCAAGTTCTTCTGACTCTATTCTACTATTCTAGTTTAATCACAGCCGCTTTATGGCCCTTGAAATGTAAGATAGAACATAAATGTAGGTGGAATGTTTATATCATTTTGTGCATTCATTCACATAGATTTGCTTTTCCTTTTGCATGCCTAGTAACTGTCCATTCTGCAGTTTTAATGAAAATCAAGTGATAATTAGTGGTTAAAGCAGCTTTGGAAAAAATGACTCATCAGAATGACTGACATACTAAGTTTAATGTACTCTCCTGTTATACTCTGCCTTCTCTAATTAATTTTTTATTCTTTCCCTACAAAGGAAATAATACATATTTTCATGGTTTTGCCTTATAGGACTTACCAGAAACTATTCCTTATTTAAAAATTTGTACAATTGGGCATCAGGTGCCAGATGACGACACTAGTTTTAAATTCCAATGTGCTGTTAATGGGTTTCTGAAAGAAAATAAAGATAATGGTGAGTTGTTTTTGTTTTTGTTTTCCTTTACCTGAGCTTTGGTATGCATTTTGAGTGGGGTTGGTGATTTTTTTATAGTTCTGACATTAGGCCTGTTGTGTTTGGTAACATTAAGGTGGAAATGTCAGCTGGTGCTAATAGAGTATGGTGTTTTTCCTGTTTATGGTCACAAACAATTTAGTTCAGTTTGCAAAGTGATTTTTGTGAGAAATATGAACTGAACTAGCTTACTTATCTCTTTTTTAAAAATTTGAATGGAAAATACATAAAAACATAAAAATGTTCTTTTGTCCTATTTATTGGTTGAGAGGTGGAAGAAAAGGTTAAGACTCTCAGGTTCTTAGCATATATAAAAGAGAAAACAAAAAGCAAAGGTTCGGAGTGAGACAGGTCCCTAGAGGCAAAACAAAACAGAGTGGACCAGAATAGTGGCTTCCTCATCATATGTGTTTAAGATATTTTTGTTGCTTTTACACTTTGGGTGCACGTGAGGAAGAACACTACCACCTCTTATTCTCATCTTCAGATAGGAAGAGCTTAAAAGGCTGGTGTTTTCTTGTTTCCTCTTTAAGATCTACTCTGTTGATAGTAGGTCTTAATAGCGTGTGAATTTTAAGGATCCACTTGCCTTTTTCTAGCATCTAACTATCAGAAGAAACATGGTGTTTGCCATGTTTTAGGACTGAGGAATCTTTTATCTTTGGAATGCCACTGACCCCCATGAGAAAGTGTTCATTTTGTCCTCTTTCTATATGTAGCCTGAGGAGTGTGCATTTTATTAAATAAATCTAACAGACAGTAAATATTCCGTGTATATATAAAATGATATACATATATACATAAAGCAGGGAGTAAGGGAGAAGGAATAGAGATGGAGTTGGGAAGATAGGGGATAGGAGGTGAGAGAGAGAGGGAGAGACTGGAATTTCAAGGTAACTTTTCATTTTATAACCTGGTTGCTTGATGCTGGTACTAGCTTTTAAATATCTTAAGCCCTATTCACAGATCTTCCCTGTACTTTAGCTTTAAAACTTGAGAGGCTTGGCCTGTCCTGTGATAACCAGGGTGTCTAGAAAGGAGGCACATTATCTGATTTGTGTAAACTGTAGTCACAGAAATGTTACCTCTTAAGATGTTAGGGTGCAGCTGCCGGCCTACTCACTTCCTCCAGGCTCCTTTGTGTGTGTTCTGTCTGTTCTGCGTGGGCTAGAAGATCCTTACAAGTACATGAGAACAAGTTTTTAAACCTTGATTGTTCACATGTTATACCGAGTGTAGTCCATTTGTTATGCTGACTCCTCTGTGGGTCTTCTGCATGCAGTGGGCTAACTTCACCATGCTCTCTGCCATTGCAGTCTCGGGACCTTAGTTATGATCCATTGGTGACTTCCTCTGCTATAAGCCCCTCCCACAGATTCCAGGTTCACTGATAATGAGGAGGAGACTATACTATCCACTCCCTAGAATTGATAGAGACTCAGAAAATAAATTGTTTCAGTAAACACCGAGAGGCTTATAGGTTTGTTGTTAGGGCATGGGGATACAGAGGTGAGTAGAAGTGTTTGTTCAGTAGCAACTTACAGTTATCTAGGAAGATAAACATGTAGTGACTATAAGTGTGTTAATTATGATAAAAGAATCAAGTGCAGTAGGAATATAGAGGAGAAATTGTGGAAGGCCTGACAGAGGAGACAGTGTTTGAGCTGGACTCGGGGGAAGAGGACTTTGCTGGAATGAGGAAAGGACAGCCCAGGTATTGGGAACAGATTCAAAAGGCACGGGGCTTGAACTTGTGCTCTGGAGGGGAAGCCTCTGGTGTGACTAGAGGGTAGTGTGAAAGTGCAAAGGATTCATTCATTTTCAGCAAATATTTGTATAACACCTTCTAAGTTGAAGGCACTGTTCTAGGAAATAACAAGAGAACAATGTTGTTGCCCTTACGTACTTTACATTCTCGTGGGGGAGAGAGATGAATAAATAAGTCAATATATGGAGTGTCAAGTGGTGGTAAATGCTTTGGAGAATAACAGAAGATGAAGAGGTGAGGGATTGTGGTAAGTGATCAGGGATGTCCCCTCTATTAAGATGTTGATTGAGCAGAGCCTTGAAGTGAGAAACAAGCCATTGGATATCTGGGAGAGTGAAGATGGGGTGGGAAGGTGTGTTGTGGGAGAGTGGAGATGGGGTGGGAGGGTGTGTTCTGAAGCAGAAGGAATAGTAGGTGCAAAGTCCCAGAGGCACGACTGTGCTTGGCATGGTTGAGGAATAGTAAGGAGGCCAGTGTGGCTGGACAGTGGAAGGTGAGTGAGTCCAAGGCAGTAGAGAATGAGATCAGGGAGGCTGGCAGGGCAAAGGAGGGAGGTGGATGATGTAGGTCCTTGTAAGTCGTAGTTTGAACTTATAATTCAGTTGGAGAGGCAGACTGATATTTGTTTATAAAGAGTTCTCAATGCTATGCTAAAACTTGGGCTTTATTCTGTGCTAAGTGAAAATGTTTAAGCAACAGAGCAATCCAGCCAAGTAAATATTTTAGAAAGATAACATCTTCCATGTGGAGGATCAGTTGAAATAGAAGAGATTGTTAGAATTGTAGGGTGGTAGTAATCCAGGCAGGAGATATCCAATGCCAGACGCCACCTAGTCTCGACATACCTTTTGCAGAGATCAGCTACATGTTGTTGTTTTTTATTTACTTTCTCCTATGATTTTTTTAAATTGCTGGACCACGAAATACTGTGGCATAGTTGGAAAAATCTGAGACTAGATTGTAGTCTTTTTTCTGTTTGTCTGCTGTGCAGCTTGGGCTTACGTCTCAATCCTTACTTTTTCATTGTGAAATAAAAACGGTACTAGTTAACCCGGTAACTCCACAAGCAGATAGACCCGTGGCATGTTAGGAGCAGTGAATGAGAGAAGGAATGGAAGTTCTTTGGGACCCCAAGAACCCTTCAGAAACCGTTTGTTCTTTTTAATATTGAGCATTCAAAGTGAAGGCATTCCATTTGTTTCACTCAAAACCAAATTCTATTCTTCTGGTAACCTGTTTTTTTTTTTTCCACTCCCTTTTTCTATAGTCGTATCACTTCCTGATGGGCATCCTCCAGTCCATGCTATTGCATCTGATTGGAGGCTATGCAAAATTTCCCGAAGACAATGCATTTTGACTTTATAGTAGTTAATTCTTGATAGTACGTTCTTGCAAAAACACTCTTTTCTTCAGAGTTTTTCCTTTTCAGGATAGTGGTCGTGTTTTGATAACTAATAAACTCTACTCTTCAGAAAATTGTATAACTTGTTTTTAGTGTATCTACTTCACTTACTTAATTTCATATTCCCTGTTTTATAGACAGACTTATTGGTGTCCACTGTACCCATTGTTTAAACAGTACTGGCTACCTCATCTGCAAGTGAGTTGCCAACTCCAAGAGGCAGACCATGTTTAAATTATTCTGTTTACAACAGTAATGTAAGCTAATGTAAGCTGAATGCAATAAATGCAGTCAGAGAAATGTATGAAGTGGTAGGCAATTTTGCCCCCTACTCAGAGGTTATGACCAGTAATAATTTAGCACATATTTTTTGAGACATAAAAATGCAGATATAAGCATATACAATGGTCCCTTGGTATCTGCAGGGGATTGGTTTTAGGACTCCCCATGGATACCAAAATCCGCGGATGCTCAAGTCCCGTATGTAAAATAGTGTAGTATAGTCGGCCTTCCATATCTGCAGGATATGGAACAGTTGGATATACAGCACTTACTGTACATGTGATTTAATGGTACAGTATTTAGATATTCTGGTTTACAATTTAATGTATGGTGGACATCTTCCTATGAAAATATTTGGAGACCTCAATCTTATTTATTTATTTATTTCCTCCAAATTTGATTTATGTAGTTGGATAGAAATTAATGAACAAAAACGTATGCAAGATACATGTAACAATTTACTGGAACCTGATACTCTAATTCTTTCAGTTTTTCTCAAACTCACCATGCGGCTTGTAAGAAAAGTTCTAGAGGCATGACTGTGCTTGGCATGCTTGAGGAATAGTAAGGAGGCCAGTGTGGCTGGACGGGGGAAAGTGAATGAAGGCAGGGCAGTAGAGAATGGGATCAGGGAGGCTGGCCGGGGAAAGGAGGGAGGTGGATGAGGTCGGTCGTTGTAAGTCATAGTTTGAACTTATAATTCAGTTGGAGAGACAGACATATTTGTTTATAAAGAGTTCTCAATGCTATGCTAAAAACTTAAACTTTATTCTGTGCTAAGTAAAGGTGTTTAAGCAACAGAGCAATCCAGCGAAGTTTATATTTTAGAAAGATAACATCTTCCATGTGGAGGAGCAGTTGAAATAGACTTTCTTTTCTTTTCTTTTTTTTTTGCAGTACGCAGGCCTCTCACTGCCGCAGCCTCTCCCCTTGTGGAGTACAGGCTCCAGACGCGCAGGCTCAGTGGCCATGGCTCACAGGCCCAGCCGCTCCACGGCATGTGGGATCCTCCCGGACTGGGGCACAAACCTGTGTCCCCTGCATCGTTAGGCAGACTCCCAACCACTGCGCCACGAAGGAAGCCCAGATCAGTTGAAATAGAAGAGATCGTTAGAATTGTAGGGTAGTAGTAATCCAGGCAGGAGATGACAAATGCCAGACACCGCCTAGTCAGAGACATACCTTTTGCAAAGATCAGCTACATGTTATTGTTTTTAATTTACTTTCTCATATAATTATTTTAAGTGCTGGACCACAAAATACTCTGGCATAGTTGGAAAAATCTGAGAGTTGATTCTAGTCCTTTTTCTGTTTGCCTGCTGTGCAACTTGGGCTTACATCTCAAGCCTTAGTTTTTCATTGTGAAATAAGCACGGTGCTACATACCAGAGAACTGCACAGGCACATAGACCTGTTGTTACGCTGATGGGCGGGATGAAAATTGCCAATGGCCACTCTGGAGAAGTGTCTGGTGTTTCCTAAAACATCTGAAAAACAGAGCTACAGAGTATAGGGCACTTCCACTCATGGGCGTATATCCTGGGATATCTAAAAATCAACAAGACACAGCCACCCCAAATTTTAGGGCTGCTCTTTTTACAAGAACCTCGACTTCGGTACACCTTAAATGTCTCAGGAAAGAGAAAAATGGATAAAGAGGTTGTGGTACTTATGTACAATGGAATATCCCTCAGCCATGAAATCAACGTCATAAGGCTATTAGCAGCGTAATGAATGGATTTAGGTACGCTGATTCTAATTGAAATAAGTCACACAGAAAAAGAAACTTATCATATCACTTATAGAGGGAATGTAAACATGGCTACACATGAACTGAATTACAAAGCAGAACAAAGTCACACATTTAGAAAACACACTTATGCCTGCTTAAGGGGAAAGGTGAGGTGGGGTGATTCATAAAACCAGAGTTTGAAATTAGCACAGATACCATTCCATAAACCAAATATGTAATAGACAAGACCTACTTCTTGCTCAATGAACTGGACTCAACACCCCCTCTTCACTGCCGAAGAATATATCTGACTAGTAAGAATCTTAAAACGTATGTATTGCTATCTCTGTAAATGAATCAAATGTGTGTAGAGTGGAATAAACACAGCAGTGAAAATGAGCTAAACCCCATTATAAAAATAAATTTCAGAAAAAAACACAAAGACAGCAAAAGAGAGAGAAATTCTTACAAAATTCGTTCAGGGGCTGTGATGCACCCTGGATTGACCACATCTACACCCACAGCTGGATGAGACATAAGGCTGGACACTTGGGGCTGAGAGGATTGGTGAGGTTGGGTGAGCAAATGCAGACCCTTTAAAGCAATACTGCGTGCTACCCATTCCATGGGTCCCAACTCTCCAGGTTTAAGGGAATCTTCCTACAGCTAAAACATGCATGGGAAACCCAGACAATGGGACCCCGTGTGATCGGGAAAGGTTTCTAAAACGCACCTCATTTTTCATCTCCTGGTGCTCGGGATCGCCACTCCAGCCGCTTTACTAACAATCTCCCCACTTGGAGAGACAGCGCCTTTAACCTCCTGTTTTGCACAATTTGCAGTTTGTCCGGAGGATGAACGGCAAGAGGGGGTACCAATGAGAGACTATCTGTAGGTGTTTGGACAGGCACATGTCACTCTAATTTCCCACCAGGAAGAAGAATTAACCAAAGGCTCAGCCTGCCGCCCCGGAACTAGAATAGGGCCTGAAGCAATCCTGCGGTTTTGCGGCCAGCTCACAAAAAAGCGAGTTGAAAAATGGAGCTCAGGGACACTGCAATTCACAAACCTGCAGAGTTATAAAGGACAACCATCGTCCAAAACTATATTAAGGTAAGGCAACGGAGAGGATTTGAAAGCAAGGCAGAATTGCAGGAAACAGATTTCAAGAGGTAGATTGGAGTCGCCTTTAAAGCACATGAAAAGCGGCAGAACTTTGACAATAATGCAGTTGGCTGAAAAGGGCATATGCATTTTTTTCCCGAATATATTCAGGGAAAAAAACCGCATAAGCCCTTTTTGGCCAACCAAGCAAGTGGGAAATGCAAATCCACACTACAAAGAAGTCTCACTTCCCACCGGTCAAAAGGGCCAACCGAAAAATGTGTAAACACCAGAAAGGTAGGACAGGCCATGGAGAACAGGGAGCCTTGTTATGCTGATGGGCGGGATGTAAATTGTCAACAGCCACTCTGGAGAAGTGTCTGGTGTTTCCTAAAACATCTAGAAAACAGAGCTACAGAGCATACGGCACTTCCACTCATGGGCGTATATCCTGGGAAAACTAAAAATCAACGAGACACAGCCACCCCAAATTTTAGGGCTGCTCTGTTTATGAGAACCTCGACTTTGGTACACCTTAAATATCCCAGGATAGAGAAAAATGGATAAAGAGGTCCTGGTACTTATGTACAATGGAATATCACTCGGCCATGAATTCAATGTCATAAGGCTAGTAGCAGCATAATGAGTGGATTTAGGTACGCTGATTCTAAGTGAAATAAGTCACACAGAAAAAGAAACATATCACTTATAGAGGGAATGTAAACATGGCTACACATTAACTGAATTACAAAACAGAACACAGTCACACATTTAGAAAACACACTTATGCCTGCTTATGTGGAAAGGTGAGGTGGGGTGATGCATAAAACCAGAGTGTGCAATTAGCACGGATACCGTTCCATAAACCAAATATGTAATAGATAAGACCTACTCCTTGCTCAATGAACTGGACTCAACCCCCCCTCTTCACCGCAGAAGAATATACCTGACTAGTAAGAATTTTAAAAGTATTTATTGATATCTCTCTGTAAGTGAATCAAGTGGGTGTAAAGTGGCAAAAACACAGCAGTGGAAATCAGCTAAACGCCATTATATAAATAAATATATTCAGGAATAACGCATACGCCCTTTTTGGCCATCCAAACAAGAGGGAAATGCAAATCAGCACTACAAAGAATTCTCACTTTGCATTCGTCAGAAGGGCCATCCTGGAAAAATGTAAAACCAGAAATGCAGCACAGTCCATGGAGAAAAGGGAGCCTTTTTACGCTGATGGGGGGGGGTGTAAATAGACAACAGCCACTCTGGAGAAGTGTATGGTGTTTCCTGCAACATCTAAAAAACAGAGCTACAGAGCACAGGGCACTTCCACTCTTGGGCGTATATCTTGGGAAAACCAAAAATCGACAGGACACAGGCACCCCTACGTTTCATGCTGCTCTGTTTAGAAATGCCTCAGCTTGGGTACAACTTACATGTCCTTGGAAGGAAAAAATGGATAAAGAAGATGTGGTACTTATGTACAATGGAATATTCCTAAGCAATTAAATCAATGAAATAAGGCCCGTTGCAGCAACTCGTGGAGACTGAGGTATGATCATTCTAAGTGACATAAGTCAGACATAAAAAGAGACTTCTTATAAGGTGTCACTTATAGATGGTATCTAAAAATGGCTACGCATGAACTCAATTACAAAACAGAAACAGAGTCACACATTTAGAAAACACATTCATGGCTGCTAAAGGAGAAAGTTGGGGTGGGGTGATGCATAAACCAGGAGGTTGTAATTAGCATAGATATGCTTCCATAAACAAAATAGGTAATTGACTGGACCTACTGTATAGTTCATAGAGCTAGACTCAGCACACTGTTGTCACCGGAAAAGGATATATAGGACTGGTAAGTATCTGTAAAAGAATTTATTGATGTCTCCCTTTAAGTGAATCAAGTGGATAGATGTAACGCAGGAAGAAACAGAGTATTCAAAATCAGCTATACCTCATTATAAAATTAAATAACAAGAACAACAAAAAAAGAGAGAAATTCTTTTTATTAAATTTTATTATATATATATATTTAACATCTTTATTGGGGTATAATTGCTTTAAAATGGTGTGTTAGTTTCTGCTTCATAACAAAGTGACTCATACATACACATATGTTCCCTATCACTTCCCTCTTGCGTCTCCCTCCCTCCCACCCTCCCTATCCTAACCCTCCAGGCGGTCACAAAGCACTGAGCTGATCTCCCTGTGCTATGCGGCTGCTTCCCACTAGCTTTCTACCTTACGTTTGGTAGTGTATATATGTCCATGCCTCGCTCTCGCTTTGTCACAGCTTACCCTTCCCCCTCCCCATATCCTCAAGTCCATTATCTAGTAGGTCTGTGTCTTTATTCCTGTCTTACCCCTAGGTTCTTCATGACATTTTTTTTCTTAAATTCCATATATATGTGTTAGCATATGGTATTTGTCTTTCTTTTTCTGACTTACTTCACTCTGTATGACAGACTCTAGGTCTATCCACCTCATTACAAATAGCTCAATTTCGTTTCTTTTTATGGCTGAGTAATATTTCATTGTATACATGTGCCACATCTTCTTTATCCATTCATCCAATGATGGGCACTTAGGTTGTTTCCATCTCCGGGCTATTGTAAATAGAGCTGCAATGAACATTTTGGTACATGACTCTTTTTGAATTATGGTTTTCTCTAGTGGGATTGCTGGGTCATATGGTAGTTCTATTTGTAGTTTTTTAAGGAACCTCCATACTGTTCTCCATAGTGGCTGTACCAATTCACATTCCCACCTGCAGTGCAAGAGTGTTCCCCTTATTCCACACCCTCTCCAGCATTTATTGTTTCTAGATTTTTTGATGATAGCCCTTCTGACTGGTGTGAGATGATATCTCATTGTAGTTTTGATTTGCATTTCTCTAATGATTAATGATGTTGAGCATTCTTTCATGTGTTTGTTGGCAGTCTGTATATCTTCTTTAGAGAAATGTCTATTTAGGTCTTCTGCCCATTTTTGGCTTGGGTTGTTTGTTTTTTTGTTATTGAGCTGCATGAGCTGCTCGTAAAT